TATATATCATGTTCTATCTCATGAAATAGAACTTTATATCTTTTTAACTCTTTTTTTTCCGATCTAATTCTTGAAATCATAACAATCTAATATACATCCATGAAATATATATATACTCTACTTTAACCAATTAAAATATCATAAGTTACAAAAAAATTTGAGTTATAATAGTTAATTAATAGAAAGCTAAAGAGTTTTAGTATTAAAGTAATATTTAATACAATTATAAAAAGCTTTTTAATATGTATTAATTAGATGATAAATTGGAAAGTTATAATAAACTACTATAAGCCATGTCACAATATCAAACTTTATCATAATACTAGGTGTGAGACTCGTGTATTACACTAGGTGAATACCCGCGCGTTGCGCAGGATAGGAAAAAAATATTTTATATTAAAAATAACTAAATCATTGTTATTAACAATTAAATAATAATTTCATAACAAATATAAAAATGATTTTTAATATTATCATTATGTTCAACTATATCATAAGAGATAAGGTTGGAACTTGAAGTTGTGCATATACAAAGTTATATGGTTAAAATAGAAAAAAGAAATTATAAATTTTTAAAAATAAATAAATCATTATTGTTATCTATTAAATAATAATTTCATATTAAATTAAAACGTTTATATTAAATATTATCATTAGGTAGAACATACGATAATAAAAACATCTTTTTATCTATCTTAAATATTATCATTATGTACAACATATGATAACAGAGACATCTTTTTATCTTAAATAGTAAATTAATTTTTTGGTATCATAAATATTACTATAATTATGTAGAACATATGATAATAGCGACGTCTTTTATAAGGTTAGAACTTAAAATTGTATTATATACAGGGTTGTAAAACTTTGCTAACACAACCAAATGCTCGACATGTTGCTTAAACTCGGCCTCCAATGGAAGCGAGTTTGCCTAACTCAGCCAAAAGACACTCAGATATTAATCAAACTCGATCCAATTCTAAAAAATCTTGTCCAAAATCATTTTCAAAATTCTGAAACTTAATTTGTCACTTGTCAACAAAGACAATGTCACCAAAGAATACCCTCAACGTCCTACAAAGGTAGACGCAATGAAGATCTCATGGCTTTGTCCCTTTGAAATATTTCACAACCTTTCCTATTTATAGAAGAGGAGGCATTCTCTTGTTTACTCTCACCATCGATTTGAGATGAAGACATTTTAATTAAAGTCTTTTCTTTATTTGCCAATAAATAAAACATTAAATAATAAAAATAAAACGTTATCCATAAAATTTATTGTTCAACAGTTTCATTTTTCAGTAATCTCGTAAGTTGCTATAGAAAAAGTAAGTTTTTATTGAATAACTTTTTGTTAAATCCTAAAATCATAAATTCAGCTAGGTACTTAATATAGAAAGTTTTTTTTATATGTATTTTCATGATTCAAAAGGTCATTATAAAATGAATTCATTTATAAAATAATTATGGGAGTTTCAAATATATGTGGTGAAAGGAAAATGTTCATTTATCAGTCCAAATTGATCAAAATCGAACCGATTCAACTCAATATATCAAACTACATAACGTTTTTTCTACTGAAACCCGGTTTGTATATATTTCGTGTTTTTGAATCAATTTTATTTTTCAAACAGTTATAAGTTTATGTTTAGGTAACTTATTTATAATATTATTAGAAACAATTTGAAAAATCATGAGTTTCAAATGTATGTGGTGAAAGGAAAATGCTTCATTTATCGGTCCAAATTGATCAAACTCGGAACGATTGAACTCAATATAGCCAACTACATAACAGTTTTTCAACTGAAACTCGGTTTAAAGCTGAAAAAATCTGGTTCAAAACCATATTCAAAAACTTAACTGGACAGTTGCCAATAAACATAATCTCACCAAAGAATACCCTCAACATTCTAAAAATGTAGGCATAAGGAAGTTCTCTTGGTTTGGTCCCTTGGAACATTTCACAACCTTTTTTATTTATAGAAGAGGAAAGGTTCTAGGGCTGGCAAAATTGTACCACGGAAAACCAACCAACATGTTATCAACCGAACCAATAAACTTGGTAGCCAATATATTTGGTAGCCAACATGTTTGGTTGGTAGTACCGTACCAATTGATCAATGTTGGTACGGTAATGGTACAAAAATTTGAATATCATGGTAATACCGTACCAACCAATTTATTATATATATATATATATATATATATATATATATGAAATCGTATATTTCAACTATTGATTGTGTTTAGTGTTACAGTTTTAATAACATCATATTAGTCATTTGATTGTATTAGTCGATAGTTATTACCACGTTAAAGCACAAAATTAAAACGTTACTTTACCTTTACTTTAGTATAATTCTTTTGTAAACAAAAAGAACTACATAACTAATTTCTATACTAAACATTAAAATCCCGATGTCTATATTTTAGTAGAATTCTTTTGTAAACAAAAAGAACTACGTAACTAATTTGTATACTAAACATCAAAATCCCGATGTATTTGCTTATTTTTAAATGTTACAATAGAAAATTAAAAGAAGTTGGTATATACCATTACCAATTTGTACCAACCAAACATGTTGGTAGCCAAATAAATTGGTACCAAGTATATTTAGTACGGTACCGGTAGAAATTTTTTTATACTAATTATAGTTGGTACGGTACACGGTTTAGAGAAAAATGAATTGGTACCGTACCAATTCCACCCCTAAAACGTTCTCTTGTTTACTCCCACCATCGATGTGGGATGAAGACATTGTAATAAAACACACTTTCTTGCTTATAAAACATTATTTAACTTATTTAATAAAACACCATTTCTCTTGTTTACCTTTTGTTGATTGTTCAATAGTTCCATTTTTTCTATAATCTCGTAAGCTGCTATCCAAAAAAGTAAGTTTTTATTGAATAACTTTTTGTTAAATTCTAAAATTATAAATCACTTAGGTACTTAATATTGAAAGTTTGTTTATATGTATTTTCATGATTCAAAAGTTCATTATAAAATGAATTTATTTATAAAATATAATCGAGTATATATTTTTTGGTTTTGAATCAAATCGATTTTTCAAACAATTTTAATTTTATGTTTAGGTAGATGTTTTTTTATATTTATATAACATTATGTAACTTATCTATAATATTATTGGAAACAATTTGAAAAATCATGGGAGTATCAAATGTATGTGGTCAAAGGAAAATGTTTCATTTATCGGTCCAAATTGATCAAACTCGGGCCGATTCAACTCAATATACCAAACTACATAACTTTTTTTCTAGTGAAACTCGGTTTGTAAATATTTCGTGCTTTTGAATCAAAGTGATTTTGCAAACAGTTATAGTTTTAGGTTTAGGTAGATGTTTTTTATATTTATATAACATTATGTAAATTATTTATAATATTATTAGAAATAACTGAAAAATCATGGGAGTTTCAAATGTATGTGGTGAAAGGAAAATGATTCCTTTATCGGTCCAAATTGATCCAACTTCGATTCAACTCAATATAACCAACTACCTAACTTTTCTTTCTACTTAAACACAGTTTGAACCTTAAAAGATCCGGTTCAAAACTATTTTTGGAATTCTAAAACTTATATGGACACTTGCCAATATAGACAATCTTACCAAATAATATCCTCAAAATCCTACAAAGGTAGGCATAAAGAAATTCTCATGGTTTGGTCCCTTTGAAACATTTCACAACATTTCTTATTTATAGAAGAGGAAAAGTTCTCTTGTTTACACTCACCATCGATGTGGGATGAAGACATTGTAATAAAACACACTTTCTTGTTTATAGAACATTATTTAACTTATTTATAATATTATTGTAAAGAAATTGAAAAGTCATGAGAGTTTCAAATGAATGTGGTGAAAGAAAAAATGCTCCTTTTATAAGTATACTAGGTGAATCCCCGCGCGTTGCGCGATCATTTAATTATTTAATTAAAATAATAACTTTTAACAAACTTTAATTTATTATTTATATATGAAAAACCAATGTTAGTAGCAAAACAAAACATATAGTTACCATGTTCGTTTTATGAACAACCATGGTTTTATGTCATTGGTTATTTCTACTATAAATTGATAATTTTATAAACCGTTTTAAGTTGTGTAAATTTTATATCAAACGTATTAAGTTGTGTAGCTTGTATAAAAATGCATGCTGATATCTAGCGTAAGGAATAACAAATAGTATGGAAAAAAAACTACAACTTTTAATTATATAAAACCTCTACAACATCTACTATAACATTTATATCAACAAAACTTATTAAACCATTATAAATCATACAAAAATATATAGAAATCAACATACATTTGGTATACATAAACATTATTATCCCCTAAAACAAATCGTGTTGTAAAAACCATTGATGCGATAAAACTCATTTTTTCGACACTTCATATTTAAAATCACAAATCTCTTCAAACACATGATTTTTTCTATCACAACTTACTTGTTTACTACTAATATAGTTATAATGTGTATAGATAATAGGAAAATAAAAAGACATTACATATTAATAACCATGTAACGCCCCGTTTATTTAAATAAATTAATAAATGTAAGTCCCAGACTGATTTGCGAAGAATTTTAGATGTTGAGGGTTAAAAGTGTAAATTACAGATTAGTTTTGTAAGTGTTTATGAAGGCAGAGACTAAATGGAAATTATTGGGACTTCATTGAAGAGATTTTAGAGGCCTAGGGGCTGTTTGGTAAATTACGTACCTAAGTTGTAATGGATTCTAATATTCAGGGTTTAAAGTGTAAGTTTTGGATTTCATTTGAAAGGATTTCATGGGGAGGGACCATAAATGTAATTATGGGGAAATAGTTATTTTGGACGGATATATATGCGTTACTAAACCCTAACCCTAACTGGTAGCACCAGCCGCCATCCCCACCTTATCACCCCTCGTCCAGCCGCCGCTTCCGTGAGACTATCGTGAACCGCCGGCGAGCCCCCCCCCCCTTGCGACTCCGATGATGAGTACCGAGGCTGCTGTTGCGTTATTCCTTCATCCGAGACATCCGTCGCTCTTCTGCTTCCAGTCGACGATGAAGGTGGGAGCCGTAGGTCGAGGAAAGCCGCTGAAGCTCTTGGTGCCGACGAGAGCAAGGACCACCAGGATCGGACTTTTAAGCTGTGAATGGCTTGTGCGGGCTGTGAACGATCGGAATAGCGCTGGGCGCGGTGACTCTCTGTGTTGCTGTACCAGCTCGTTGTTCTTCTCCATTCTTCTCCGGTCGTAGCTATCGAGCGTTTGCCTTGCTGTCGCCACCGTCGCTTCGTTCTTCTCCCACCGTTCCAGTTGTCATCCACCAACCCGAAGAGGCTGAGAGAAGAATCGCGACACCGTTGCTGTTGTTTTTCCCCGTCGGAGTTGCGCGCGTGTGCCTTGCCTCCACCTTCGCTGCCGTCGGCAGCCCTTGGGTTGACGTTTGCGTTCTTCCGGCGACGCCTGCCGTCTTGGCGGTGACTTTTTGGGTGTGTGGTCGAGTTTTCTTGTGGTTGTTGTGTTGTGAGAATTATTTGAGCGATTTTGGATGGAAAACCCACCGCCACCACCTCAAGGTGGTGGCTGCCACCGCTTCTGCCACCGCCGGCCACCACTTGGGTGGCTGTGTGTGTGTGTGATTAGTTTAGTGTGTGTGTGTGTGTGTGGTTAATTGAGATTTAGCCTTGTAAAAATGTAATTTGAATTTGGAATAATGAAAATGAACCAAACCACCACCGTACGGTGGTGGCCGCTGCCGTGTGCCGCCATTGACCACCACTACCCGAGGTGGTAGTGGGTGGTGCCCCTCTAGCAAACCCTAATGGGCTTAAAGATTCATTTTTGGGCCTATTGGGCCATGGTTGAGTGAAAACCCTAATTAGGGTTTGGAAAACCCTAATTATGTGCATTTGGGCCTTAGACTTATTGGACCCACTTTTGGGCCATTGAGATTGGATTGAATATTAAGCCCAATTATTCCATGTCATTTATCTAGCAGAGTAAAGAATTAAGGATTAAGTCCTTAATGGGCTAAGTGAGAAAACCCTAATTTTGAGAATTTATTGGGACACACACACGAAAATTATTTAATAAGTAAAATATTAAATAATAATCATTGGCAGAAATTAATCTAAGCAATAATGGACTTATGGATTCAAGTCCTTAGTAGATAAGTCCTTAGTGGGTTAAGCCCTTAATGGGTTAAGTGAGAAACACTTAACCCTAATTGTCATTTTATGTGAAACCCTAATGTCACATGGGCCTTGAGTTGGGCTTTTCAATTGGGTATTGGTAATTGGGCAATAATGGGCCATCCAAGAATGATTATGGACTAGAATATTTAGTTGGGCTTTAGG